ATGTCGTGCAGAGGGACTGTCGTAGCACCCTCTTAAAGTAGTGCACCTCTTGTACAATTCCAGTGAGCAAGGCCTGAAATCGCTCTGACATCCAGAGACATACTCTGCCGAGATAATATGCCAACAGCCACCCTAAGAAAACGGACCAAGCCCCGGGAAACGAAGACTGAAGCAAGGCCAGCGTTTTCGGTACGGTACATATACGTCTGTTAGCGTAGTGCACCTCATACACGAGTCCGGATCATGCGATTCACACTTATAAGAACCAAACACATCTTGCTGATGATGTCTGTGGATATGCAAGACTTCGGTCCGATGAATAAGACTCATGCATTGCCGTCAGATGTTGCCATCATTGGCGGACGGACTGCAGTAGCACCCTCTTCAAGTAGTACACCTCTTGTATAATTCCAATCGGCGAGACCTAGAAACCACTCTGACATCCAAAGACGTACTCTGCCGAGATAATATGCCAACAGCCACGCTAAGCAAACGGACCAAGCCCCGGGAAACGAAGACTGAAGCAAGGCCAGCGTTTTCGGTACGGTACATATACGTCTGTTAGCGTAGTGCGCCTCACACGCGAGTCCGGATCATGCGATTCACACTTATTAGGACTAAACACATCTTGCTGACGATGGTATAAGGTACGCTGCGCTTATAAATGCATATGTACCGTACCGAAAACGTTGGCCTCGCTTCGGTCTTCGGTTTCCGGGGCTTGGTCCGTTCCCTTAGAATTGCTGTTGAGACGTTATTTCGGTACAGTGTGTCTTTGGATGACAAAGCCGTTTTTAGGTCTCGCCAACGAATTATGCAAGAGGCGCACTACTTTAAGAAGGTGCTACTACAGTCTATCCGCACATGATGGTGACATCCCACGACAGTGCATGAGTCTTATTCATTGAATCAAACCATTGCAGCTCAACCGACATTGTCGGCACAATGTGTTTATTTCTACTTAGTGTGAATCGCGTTGTAAGGGCTCTTGTTTCAGGTGCACCGCACGACTAAACGTATATGTACCGTACCTAAACCGTTGCCTTTGTTTCGGTCCTCGGTTCCCGGGGCTTGGCTTCGTTCCTCAGGGTTCGTGTCGGGATGTTATCTCAGCGGGGTGTGTCTTTGCCTTTCAGAGTGGTTTTTAGGTCTCGCCAATTGGAATTATACAAGAGGTGTACTACTTTAAGAGGGTGCTACTACAGCCTGTCCGCACATGATGGCAGCATCTCACGGCAATGCATCAGCCTTATTCATCGGACCGAAGTCTCGCAGTTCCACCGTCATTGTCAGCACGATGTGTTTAATTTCCATAAGTGTGAATCGCCTGATCCGGACTCGTGCATGAGGTGCACTGCGCTAATAGACGCATATGTGCCGTGCCGAAAACGCCGGCCTAGCTTCAGTCTTCGGTTCCAAGGCTTGGTCCGTATCCTTAGGATTTTTATTGGCATATTATCTCGGTAGAGTATGTCTTTGGATGTCAGAGCGGTTTTTAGGTCCCGCCAATTGGAATTATACCAGAGGTGTACTACTTGAAGAGGGTGCTACTGCAGTCCGTCCGCCAATGATGGCAACATCTGACGGCAATGCATGAGTCTTATTCATCGGACCGTGGTCTGGCATATCCACCGACATAGTCAGCAAGATGTGTTTGGTCCTAATAAGTGTGAATCGCATGATCCGGACTCGTGTGTAAGGTGCACTACGCTAATAGACGTATATGTACCGTACCGAAAACGCTGGCCTTGCTTCAGTCTTCGTTTCCCGGGGCTTGATCCGTTTTCTTAGGGTGGCTGTTGGCATAATATCTCGGCAGAGTATGTCTCTGGATGTCAGAGCGATTTCAAGCCTTGCTCGTTGGAATTGTACAAGAGGTGCACTACTTTAAGAGGGTGCTACGACAGTCCCTCTGCACGACATGATTGCAGCATCTCACGGCAATGCATGAGTCTTATTCATCGGACCAAAGTCTTGCAGTTCCGTCGACATTGTCAGCACGACGTGTTCAGTTCTAAAGGTGTGAATTGCATTATCCGGACTCGTGTGTGAGGTGCACTACGCTAACAGACGTATATGTACCGTACCGAAAACGCTGGCCTTGCTTCAGTCTTCGTTTCCCGAGGCTTGATCCGTTTCCTTAGGGTGGCTGTTGGCATATTATCTCGGCAGAGTATGTCTCTGGATGTCAGAGCGATTTCAAGCCTTGCTCGTTGGAATTATACAAGAGGTGCACTACTTTAAGAGGGTACTACGACAGTCCCTCTGCACGACATGATGGCAGCATGTCACGGCAAACGGAGTAGTCATATTAATTGAATCGAAGTGTTGTAGTTTAAGCGACAATGTCGTCACGATGTGTTTGGTCCTAATAAGTGTGAATCACATTATCCGGAGTCGTGTATGAGATGCACTGCGCTAATAGACGTCAATGTACCGCACCGAAAACGTTGGCTTGGCTTCGGTGTTTGGTTCCCGTGGCTTGGTCCGTTTTTTAAGACTGCTGGAAATGCTTCAGTTCCGCCGACATTGTTGGGTTTTTCTCTGTGCTGTCTGTTTGGAAATATCAATTCGAGACACGAATGTGAAGAACTGGGATACCTTTCTTAATTGCTCGAATGCACGTAATTTGGTGCTTATGTTGCCCTTTTAGTACATGCTATAAATATATATATAAATGGTCGGCTGCGTGTTAAAAATCATATGACCTGTTTGTGGCCGAAATTATTATATTATCAGATGGTTATTTCTTGAAGATGATAGGCAATCATGCGAGCATTGTGAGTAGCAGTGGTCGAAACGACGTAGTGTATAATGTTAATTGCCTGCTCTTTATTTTTGGTGCCAAAGGTGTCGTTTGGATTGTATGATTTCAAAGTTGGGCAATCCTGCTAACGCGAGCTGGTTGAGCCCGTGCCGCACTGCGCGTGAAACGCTCGCGGTGGAGATTTTTTTTCTCCTGAAAAAGGTGAAGCACTTGAAGAATACCCAAAGGAAAATCTCCAGTTCTATGGCTTTTGTCACGTGGTTTTTGGCAGTTCCAAGGTTTCGAATTTGTTTCCGCCTAAAATGCCGCGACAAGTCTTATCTGTTAAAAGGCAGCCAACGGAATGAAGGTGCATGCAAAACCTGTTGTACTGTGAGCCATCGATTCACTTTCAAAATTCTCACCAGCCTATGCTCGGGCTATATTTTGGCATCCACTCTGTAGAGACAGATGCCTCCTCAGTGACCCAAAATGCCTATCCGCTCGTGGAGTTTCGGCTGCCCAGGACAGGACGAATTACCTTGGGAAGCTGGAAAGTCTTATTTCTCGAGTGAATAGATGAGTCGGACAGGTAAGAGTTTCCACCTGTGAGAAACAGTTCTAGATGCATATCTAGAATAGCGGTCATTAGAATAAAGAGCGATAACCTCCATCCCTCGCCCCCCTCCCCCCCCCCCGTCGTCGGACTTGTTTTCCAGAAAAAGTTCCCGGGGTACACCCCGAGCTTGCCCCCCCCCCCCCCCCACTGTTTGAAACGTTCCTACGCCATGTCTAAGACGGACGGTGCCTTCGGCATCAAGATTGGGGTGATCAATACTGTGTTGTAACCTGCATACGCTTGTAGTAGATTTGACGTGAGAACATCCAAGTCACGGAAGCACGGACACAGGAAAAATTTGGTGAATAGGGAGAATCCAACACAATGCATTAAAATGTGCCGCATTTAACTTGTGTGAAAGTGCCAAACGTACGCGCTCGGTGCTCAAGTCTGTGTTTCAATCGCTTTTCGGAGATTGGTGGTAGCATAATTATAGGTCCCGGTTTTGACTTCTGTCCACGCTTGCCTCTACTTGATGCATGAAATCAATTATTCATCATGCGCTTCGTTCTTGGTATACCAAAATGAGCTCATACCACGTTTAAGTTGTTCAACCGTCACGCTACGGGAGTTTGCTCACCTTCACTCTGGGAAGGAGGGAGGGAAGCTCAGTTTGCTCACCTTAACCCTAGAAGGAGAAAGGGGAAAGCTCAGTTTGCTCACCTTCACCCTGGTGAGGAGGGAGGGTAGGCTCAGTTTGCTCACCGTCACCCTGGGGAAGAGAGAGGGGAAGCTCATATGCCCTTCTCAATATTTCAAAAACTAAGCAAGGTACAGCGACAGAAAAAGGACATGGGAAGACTGCCAAATTTCATTATATATGTGTGACCTGACAATAGTAAATATGACCTTTCACAGGTCACATTAGATGACGCACCATATTATTGTTTCATATATTGTTATTGCAACGTTGGAACGAAGCACGGCACGGCCAGGTACGAGATGGTCTTGAATAGCACTTGAAAAACCCTAAAGCAAAGAGGTCCTGGTGCATATCGGCACATGTGATCCCTTGTGTGTCATGTCCGGTCAAAGGGGGGGGGGGGGGGTATTATTGCGTTGGGCCGTTCGACGTGGTCAATGGCAAAAAAAAATCAATAAGGAGGGTATGGTTCGGGAAGCCTCCAAGGGTTGCAGCGCATATGCTATTGCGTTTTAAATGGTTCGATTTTAAACGAGGCAGTCAGTCGAAAATGCCAAGTCGTGACCTGGCTTGATATTGGGTGGCCTGACCTTAAAGACACCGGAACGATAGCAATGCACCTCAGAACAGGTACTGTACCGAAGAAAAAGAGGTCTCCAAAACTCGCTGTGAGATGCATTTCCCGGGGGATTAAACTTTTTGTCACTGCTAAGGAAAACGTCACTGGCATGACCTTGAAAGGCACGCTATAGATCATCAGCCGTCGCGGCTAGAAACATCCTCCGCGTGCAAAACGTGTCGAAGTGCGTGGTAACTCAGCTACCCAAAACATTACCAACCGTGGTTACCAGCGTTCACAAGTTACGACAAGAAAGCGCTTCTGAAGCCCTCCATGCCCACCGTAGAGCGAGAGTTTCCAGTTGGTTACAGCGCTTATCTTCGGTTCTAATGTCTGCTTTCTCGCCCGCAATCAGGTTGTAGCAGCTGCTGCCATGGCTGGAGGAGCCTTCCCGGCCGCAAGAGCCGACGGAGCCTCGGACCTGCCCAGACCGCTGGACCCACCAGAGTCGCTCAGCCAGCCGGAGCCGCCGGAGCCCCCAGAGCCGCCAGGGTCACTCAGGCCGCTGGAGCTGTCGGGCCCCCGGTGCCCCCGGAGCAGCACAGGAAAGCCCACGCCGCCCGAACTCGACGAGACGCCGGACCGTCCAGAGCCACCGGAGCCGCTCAAGCCGCTGGAGGTCACGGAGCCACCGGAGCTGCCTAAGCTCCAGGGCCATCTGGAGCCGCCAGAGCCGCCCAAGCCGCCGGAGGCCACTGAGCCACCCAGGCCACCGGAGGCCACGGAGCCGGACCACCCGCCGGAGCAGCGGGTGCCTCCGGAGCTTCCCGAGCCGCCGGAGTCGCCCCGGCCGCTGGAGCTGCTGGGGCTGCTGGGGCCACCGGAGCCGTCGGAGCCCCAGGAGCCGCCCCAGTCACCAGAGCTGTCCCCGGAGCCGCCGGGGCCGCCCCATCTAGAGGCCACGATGCCCCTGCCTCCGCCGGGGGGCACAATGGCCCGTTGAACCAGCCCAGACCAGTAAGTTTAGGCGTAGTTATCTGTCGTAGGGGACTCATGGTTTTCTTGTGAAAACCGCGTTGTACGAAATCGTGTTATATTGGCTTCCGATGACGCACATAAACCATTTGTTCCGATACACTGCAAATGCCAGAATTGATCCTTATTTTAACAAAAAAGCAAGGTTCGTTAGAACAAGAACCAATGTGACTCCAGGATAACATCAGTTCAAAACAGTTTCACTAATGAAGCGCCGACTGAAGCTTGGACACAAGAAATCAATGGGGGTGCGTGAAAGCAGCGAACCCTTGCTGACAAATACAAAACTATTGGTATGCAACGTAATGGTTGAGGAGTATTCGCAGCGTTGGGATGCAGACCCCTTCAACTGTACGTAAATAATAACATATGGTCATCGTGGCAGAACGCACACAAATGGTGATAATGCGAAATTCAGTACTTGTCTCATTTCAACGCAGCAAGTGAAAAATTTCAAACATGCTAGGCTATGAACGCTGATGTGTTGTTCCCTTACCCCATAGAATGCCAGGTAGGCCTGTAGCCGTGGAACAGCTAGGTCCGCCGGGACGCGGTCCTACCCTGCTTGCACGCCTACGGCTGCATGCGGTGCCTGCGAGCGATCCAGGCGCGGGCGCCCGGAAGGCGGGTCAGGTGCCCGTTCTGCCGAGGCCGCTTCTGAGAGCCTCCCATAAAGTTTTTTTTTGTAAGCACGAGCGGATGTGTCGCGGTGTTATGACGCTGTTTTTAAAAATATGTCTGGAAAACGTGCATGGCTATTCATGTCCGTTACTAAGTAGGAGAGTAGGGATGTAAGGAAACGAGAAGATGCTGGAAGAATGCGAGGCGCAGTGCAATGGGAAAAGGGAACGTAAGCAAGTCATCGTTGTTTCTGAGCATGACATCGCTGGACGAGAGACGATGTGTCCAAAATGTAATGACAAGTACACTATATTTAACCCACGTGTGTTCGCAGCTTGTTATTGACACGAACGACACAACAACGCAGGGTCAGCCCTACAGCTGCTGATGAAATCCGGTGCTGGACACTTGTTGGTGCGGAGATCACACCTGCATTGCTAACAATCTACGAGTGCTTTTTTGCCACGTTGGGGTCAAACGATTGCTTTAGTGTTCAGTGTCGTGAAAAATGTCCATCAATATTTTCCGATTGCGTCACAATTGAAATATCTCTGATCTTTTCCTAGAAACGCGGCTGCAAAGTTCCTCTTCAATTACCTCATTTAATCTGCTTTTGCCTCAGCGAAATTTTACACAAAGACACGTTCAAGGAATGCGACACTTATCAGCAAAGAAAATCACGCCGACAAAGTAATGGGGTTTTTTTCCCGTTGCACATCAGCGGTTACTTCTTGCTCAATCAAGGGTGTAGCTACGCAAAATGAGAAGCTTAGGCGAAACGGCCCCTAAATAAATATGAATCTGTCTTGAATGTCATGAAACCTTTTAATTAATAAAAAACAAAATTGCTTACAGTGTCTACTCGCGAGCCTCCACCTACGTTGTTTTTACTGAACGACTTAGCTTTCAGTTTGCATGCATGTGGTTGAATTAATTATGTGCACTAGAAACAGGACAGTCACAGTCATGCAAAGAAATGGACCCGTATTTGCTAAAGACGTATTACTAAGCCACGGAGCAATTTGGGTTTAGCGTGCAGAAGATAAGCAGGGCATTTATGGTGCGCGCAAAAGGCTATATTATTCTTACGACCATGGTCCAGAAATGCCACTTGGTTCACCGAAGTTTTGAAAAGTGCTAGCAAAACAGCAGCTTGGTGAACATGTTGATGCCATTGTGAATGTACGGAGCGAGGGTGTAATGGATGTGATAAGCGCTTATAGTTCCTTGTGGGAATCCGGATTCAGCCCCTGCTGCGCCATGGCCCCCAACGTTGGCGTATACAGGCGATGGCGCCCCATACAAAGCGCACAGAACAATATGCTTTGTCCGACAACGAAAGTATCGGATGGCTTTTTATATACAACGAAGCAAATGCTATTTTGCCTGACTTTGTGATGTGGGTCACCGCTTGTCCTTGGCGCGTCCAGGGTGTAAATCGGTAGCGTACAATCAGAATTATTTTCAACTGGAGCGGGGTCCGGGGCTCGGTGAGCACACATTGCGCCGATTTTCAACTTTTTGTCAGGAACCATTTATGACTAAAAACAGATGCGGTCCTAAGCGGGGCAGGGAGGAAGAGGGGCACCCGGTGTGAAGTCATTTGATTTGTGATCCAACTTCGGGGCATAGAGCAGAAATTTCGGTACATGGGTCGACGATGCGTGAAATGTTCTGTTCTGCAGCACCAAGTGCTGCTCAATTTCTGGGAACTGTCTGGCCCGTGCTGGCTGGCCGCTTTGACTCTTAACGATATTGTGCGCCGGGTGGTCCCGGCGCAGACGTCCCGTACCGTGTGATCAGACGTCCTGGCGGGTAGACTCAAATTTTCCTTACGACCCAGAAAAAAGCATTGTCAAGCCGCCAATCAAGTAGACAAGTATCCGATCCACCACTGCCTTCACACAGGCGCAGCGAGAGTGCGGAGAGCGCAGGGCGGGACGCTGCAGGCCTCTCCTCAGAATGGCAGTGACGCGGAGCCGAAAAGGAATTGAAGTATATCTGTTACCCCGGAAATGAACAACCGGACCGCGTACCGGGTTTTCCGAGCGCTTGCAATTTCTCGCACTTCGGTAGACGACGCTGATCATGACCAGGTAGCAAAACCCAAGCAGTCGTCGCGGGGGAGGCGCCGCACGGCTCCCCCGCAACCACCGCCGTCTCAAGCTGCTGTCTCATTGGACAGATGCCTTACTACGTCATTCCGCCTACCGCATACGATAACGGTCGGCGGTAGACGGCGGACCGTTCCGAGCATTGGTAATGTCGGCCGACCGTGTATGCGCGGTGGATGCTTCCAGGAACGCCGCTGACAGTCAATCGAGGTTAAGATTCACACCCTGACGGCCACCCCAGAAACTAAACTGAACATTCTGTACCTTGGACATTATGAGCTTTGGACATTCTATACATCGGATATTCTGTACTTTGGACATTCTGTCCCTTGGACATCCTGTACCTTGGACGATATGAACGCATCCCGCCGGGGGAGTGCTGACCGCCCGGCCGCCGGGCGGCAGCGCAGGTTGCCTCGGGCCACCACACAAGGGAGATCATAGAGGGCGCCCTAGCCGGCAAGGCCGCTCACTGGCCTTTTCAGGCGTTCATAGACTATGTGTGTTTTTGTTCTTCATGTTTTTGGGCCCATTATTTCGTACTTTAACAACTCGAAACAACTTGAAACTGCACTCACCCTAATTCATTTAACAATAATTTGTGCGGACCCGTTATGGTCTGAACCTCCACTAGCACTAACGTACTGTGCCTCGCACAATTTGCCACACAGCCACTCAAAGTTTCATTCTCCATAAACTGTCATACTTGTCCCACATCCACGCTGCCGGGTCAACCAGTCCTAGATATGAACGGAGCGGAACCAGGCATACCATGTGAGAGGCACGTCCCTTAAATTCGCATCATTAAACGTTAATGCCTGATAATCGTGCATAGCGTTGTACCTTAAAGACGCGAGATATTTTCATGACTCAAAAAAACAACAGGCAAATATTTTCTTTCTGCAGGAAACCCATTGAATTTAGTCTGATGAGGTGGTCTGGCTGAACGAATGGGGAGGTGGTGGATACTTTTTTCACGGTGACAGCAGGAGCCGAGGTGTCGCCATTCTTTTTATACCCTGTATAGCGATGAAGGTTAAACGGACCCGAAAGCACGTCAATGGTCGATCCATTGCACTGCAGGTAGTTATTAACGGCACACAGCACATTCCCGGCTCTACGGCACATTAACGGCACACAGCACATATATACGGACCAAATAATAATAACATTACCCATAAGAAAACTTTCTGGACCACTGTGACGAACCGAACATAGTACACACTATCATAGGAGACAAGTTTATCTTTTATTTCGATGCGAAGTTAGACGAGCAAAGTACACGGCAAAGTGGAGGAAATAATCGCCGGAGCAAACAATGGGTCACAAGGTATGTGGCAGAACATGATTTGATTGACATATGGAGAGCTCTAAACCCTGACTTGAAACAATTCACGTGTCATGGACTTAACCCTGCCAGTAAATCAAGGATTAACTTTTCTTAACAAGCAAATCTTTAACGGAAGAAGACCTTTGACCTTTGAAGACCTTTGACGCCTATCTGTCTGATCACTGCATGTGTGGCAGGCCGTTGTCATCCCAATGCCTCTACACGTGTTTGCACGACTCAGCCGATTGACGTCACGGGGGATACACTTTCATGGTCCTTCAAGACTTCCCTTTCAATGAAAGTGAAGCTTTCTGTGGTTTTATGGACATTTTCAGTCTTCTTTATCAATGTCAGTGCTCTTTATAATTTTGAAACTTATACTTTTCCACTAAGATTTTGCTGTAAATTAGTGGACCACTACGGCGGATTGCAACACTTTTAAACAGTTTTTGCCAACAATCCCATCGGTTCCTATGAACGACGGCGTGACGCTTTAGCGCAGACGCAAGCAGGGCTGTCTAACGCAAGGGTAGTTGACGGACCCAAGGACGGTTGAGAGCTGAACAGTGAGTAGAAATTGCATTTAGCATTGAAAACATCGTAGGAAATGCTATTTTGAATCTTCAATCATTTCATGGTGGCAAAGGTAGGTATGATGTATCACGCGGTGGGTTGTAGGTGTAGTGCAGTCTTTGTCTGTGAAAGAAGCAGCAGCGATGTAATTTTTATTGAGAGGGTGGGGAGGGGGGCAGGTGACTCGATTTGTACCTGTGATTTGTACAGCAATTATTTGTAATTCGTTCCCTTCCATGCACCATGAAAGAGCTGTGGTTTAACACGCGCTCGGTGGACAACTTGACCCCCTTTGAAGGTTTTTCCGGAATGGTCTCCGAACGGTGCGGCGCGGCCCCGCCAAATTTTGCATAGTAGTACACATTTGAATAGCGGATCGTTTGGCATCAAAAATTAGATGCATCTTGTAAGGTCGCTGACCTATGGCAGGTTAAAGTCAGGCCATAGTTTCAGCAAAGTCAATTTCTAGGGAATTGTTCAACCTGATGCAACAATGGAGTGTTAAACGAAGCCATACATCTCCGAGATGCTTTCTTATGGAACACAAATATTGAATGAGCAAATTATGTTCACCTGAGATTAGGTATAGAGGTCAGAACGAGGTCAAACCCAAGCTGTTTTACTACCCCCGTTATATATATATATATATATATATATATATATATATATATATATATGTACAGATGAATACACCCTGTGAATTTGGTGCCTCTAGCTCTCTTAGCTCCCGAGATCTCATGGGGAGGGTCAAATTGATTCCCATCCCAGCGAAGGGTATTTAACAGGCCACCCGGGTGCGTGTTAATGGTCAAATGTTCAATGTTGCGCGAAGTTGGAGGGGGGGGGGGGGGGGGGGGAGGTCTGCCTCTCAATCTGCCGCCCGCAGAAAGAACCACTGGTGTTCTGGCTCCCGGTTGGCGGTTTGCATTTAAGAAAAGAGCAGAACATTGATGCTTAAAAATTCTGCATTTTCTATCATTTCTATGAGTGAAATATCATGTCATGTATAAATTGAAACAAATGTAGCCCCAGTGGCGCATGCAGAAGGGGAGGAGGTACAATGGGCACAAGCCCTCCTCCCCCCTCCTCATGTTCCGGCTTCCGAGGGTCCGAAAGGGCCCACCGGGCCGACGATCAAGGACCCTATTGGAGGACCTAAGGGCAAGGCCAAACGGAATCTTCTTCAGGGGATCCTTTCCGCAGTCAGGGGACCTCTGAGTCGATAAGGGTTCTCCACTGAGTGGCACTGGCACTAGCACTGGCACTGACACTGGTACTGGTACCTGAGTCTGGCACCATCAGTGCCGTACAGTCGGCGCCGTGTTGGTATGGACATGAGGGCCCACTTTCAGAACAAACAGCGACCAAGCTGGGCCCCTGCACCTGTCAGGAGCCTACAGTGCCTACCAGAGGGTCCCATGTTGGCAAGAGGTCCCCAGTCGACCAAAAGCAGCATTCAATGAGGCTCGAAGACGGGCCCGGGGTTCGCCGAAACCGAGAATCAAAGACCTGTTTGGGGGGCATAAGAGCCCGAAGGGCCGGTTCTAGGTCATACAAAGGATCACGGTCTGTAGGACAGTTGGGGCTTCCTGAAATATTAGACAGAGGGCCCCTTATACCGTTTGAGGACCACTGAGGCATTGCAACATCCAACAGTTGGCTACGTCTCGGTCTGAACCCTGGGATCCCATTTCCCAAGTAAGGAGAAGGCCGGGGCCCATGATTTGCATTGGTCTAGATGCCTGAAACAATGATCGGGCCCCAGTTTGGTGATGGGTCTGCGGTACCTGACAGTGGGTCATATGTTGTCGGCAAGGTGTTCCCAAGTTCGTAACGGGGTTTGTTTGAGGAGACCGGAGAGGGGCCCAATGCCCCCTCGGGACCAAAGATCGAGCGCCCGATTGGAAGTCTGAAGAGGCCATAAGGCCAGAAGGACTCCCTGTAGGTTTCAATAAGAACGCATCCCGTCCGCTGGGACGTGACCATCAAGGCCAGTCAGAGAGTCACTTCACCGATTGGGGATCCGTAGGACAGTGTGGGCATCTCTAGCGTTTAAGCACTCAGCCGCAATCTGTACCAGTCCAGTTCTAGAGTGAATAGATTGGCCGGATGAGTCCTCATTACAAGGGAAAGGGCTTGGGTACGCCCCAGGTGCATGTACTTGGTATTTAACGAATAACAAATATAGCGGTGGAAAAAGCTGCGCACTGTTCGGTTTCTCAACAGCCAAGCATCCCGCGGTGTGCGTTTTTTCTCTGACGGAGCTTTTGCCATTCTAAGGTCTGGATTAACGGATCACGGATCTGGATCAAGGTCACGATTTCTAGACCACGGGGACGCGAGCATACGCATCTATTTTTGGCGGATGACGTCGCATGCTCAGCAGCTAACTAACCGTCCTCGGGGATCGCTCGCCCACTGCGCCAGTTGTGCCAGCTCCCGCGGAATACTCGGGATCTGCAGCCCGTCCAGACCGAGGGTGTGTTCGGCCGGCGGCAACTCAGCCACTCAACTTGGCAACTCAGCCAGCATCGACTGGCCGAGGGTCAATGGAGGGATTTGATGTCGCGAATACTGTCGCACTACGCTCCATCTGCCGGAAGACCTTTCAACCCTTTCTTCGCATTTCCGACTTAATGTGCAAATTAATAATTCACCTATTGAAGAGAAAAAAGAAATTAAATACCTTGGTGTAATCATTGACAAATCTCTTAAGTTTACAAGCCACACTAATTTTGTTGCAAGCATAGTAAGTAAAAATATTGGAACAATAAGTAGGGTTAGGTACTTTAATGATAAAACAACGTCACATCTACTCTATAATACTTTGATTCTCCCTTATCTAAATTACTGCTGCTTGGTTTGGGGCATAAATTATGCTTCTCAACTAGATCAGTTGGTAACTTTGCAAAAAAGGGCTGTGCGTCTTATAGAAAATGTGTATCCTCCACAAAGCTCACAGCCAATCTTTAAACGATATAAAATTTTGAAACTATCGGATATTGCTAAATCTCAGATGTTACTTGTGGTGCACAAATATTTAACTTTACAGCTCCCTACAGCATTCGATTTAATTTACAATATCTACGAACCCAATGACATGGATATAAGGCGAGCAAAGCATTTAGACCAACCTTTCTCTTATCGTAATTATAGACTATTTACAGCATCTTGCCTTGGCCCTAAGCTGTGGAACTACATTATGGTTTCATATTTTCCAAGAATAGCTGATATCCCTATGTCAAAAACCATCGTTAAGAACATCATCCGCAAGCATTTCGTAAACACATATTAACGTAACCAACATATTTGAAGACATTGCCATCCTTGTGCCGTACATATCCAACGCACCTCATATTTGGCCTCCTTCATGTTTCATAATCAATCTCTGATATAAAGTCATGCACATATACCCAAATTCACGGCGCTGGCTCCGGGAGTTCTCCCCGCAACAAGCTCTGCTTAGCTGGGTAGACTCCCTGGACATCCAGCTCAAAACCCAGCACAAAAATGACCAGGTAATTGCCCCCTCCGACTTGTGTGACTGCATAGCCCTTACTAACACAGTGAATTGAATGGTTGTAGATTATTGGGCGGTTATAGCGGGCTGTCATTAGCTGACTTTGGCTAGTGACTACTTTAAGCCTTTTCATCTATGATTTTTCCCTACCTATCACATAACACAATTCCTTCGGGTCTGCTCCACCTCTTCGCCTGTTTTTTTTTTAACGTTTGTTTCATCTTCCCAGCTGGGAGTGCCGCGACTTGATTTTATGTTGTCTGGTGTTAACGTACGGTTTATTGCGTCGTTGGGATTGAGGGAGGGGCACTCCTGGTTACCTGTTCTTGGGTAACGGCGTAAAAAAAGCCTTCGTCGAGTATGTCCACTCGGCTGGGTACTTTTCCTGATTTCAATTGAGCCTCTGGCACATAAACTCCGGCGCTGTAGCGACATTGACGGGTTTGCCATCGGTAGCACAGAAATAAAGATTTTAGCCCAATATATGCCGATAAGGTGTGCCGATGAAGCAGCATCATTATGGATGGTTCCGATCGGTCCTTCAGGACATGTTTTAGATGTCTGCATGCTTCTCGAGCTGTATCGCGCCTGTCCCCGAACAGACAAAAGACGCGAGGGGTCTGGATAGGTCAGCACCGAAACCGAGTAGATGCCATTTGCCCAGAGACTGAAATATCGAGCGAGCGTAACTCAGTAAAACTTACACACTTACACCTTGGAGTAAAACTTACCTTGACGTGCGAAGACCTGGGAAATATTATCTGTCCGGCAAAAACTAGAAGATTGACAGTCAAACTTAACCCATGCCTACGATGTGGCTTGACTGCATGCGGGAAGGTGCAAGTGATAAAGTCAGAGGCTCTCTCGCAACTTGCATATTTAATGACTGTTTTAGAAAAGCCAAATTGTGCGTCCTTAGAAAAGACAGAAACAATAATATACCAGTTCAGTTGAAACCAATCTCGAGATAGGATTAACCGGTCGATGATGAAAACCCATCTTTTCGTGGGTGGACTGAAGGTGCCCGATCCACCAGTACAGGCAGACAATTTTAAAATGGCCTGGATAAAGAAGTTCCTTAATCGTGACTGTAACACTAAATATGGAATATGGAATAACTATGTCACATAATGTCATGGAATAAATATGGAATATGGAATAACACTGATATGAGGCTGGAACAGAATGTATCATTGAACAGGCACCAACTGATCCACCGTTCAGTAGTTCAAATAGGCGACCTTCCCAATCACCAGGACCGAAGGCTCCTTAACGCAGACCAATTGCAAATCCAATTCGGATATGGGCATTTTCTAACATGGCGGTCTATACTGGATGCCATAGCCCGCTCTTGGAAGGAAGTGCTTGCTCAGGAAAGCCCACCAGTGCAGTCCTGTCATGCGCTTATGAGCAGATTAGCAAGTACGTGGGAACAGCGAAGTGAGGATATAGTGCGCTCCTATCCTCGGCTCATGTTTCCATACTGGACAAGGCTCAGACGAAATGGGAACTTAGGCTTGGACCTACGGGGCAAGAACAGTGGACAAAAAATACAAAGTTCTGTGCGACACAACAGATGGCTGCAATTTAGGATCATTCACAGGATTATACCAACGAACTGAATGTCACAGCTCTACTGGATCAGAGACGAACCAGTGTCCGCGCTGCCAGAGCCATAACGAAGACATACCACATGTGTTCGGGTTCTGCCCTGGGTCGCTAACTTTCTGGACTGATCTGGGCACGCGATTACGACTCCACAGACAGCTCACTATACCTAACGTTATCACTAGCCTTTACAATCCTGTTGATTCGGTCGGAACGCTTACTGTGTCGGTTATTCGACTGCGCTTGCTATTGGGCAAGCAGTACATATGACAGTATCGTAATGCATCGTATGAGTCATATATAGCCGAGGTCTCTTTGAGTTTATTCAAAGGTATTCCGATGTGGAGAGACATGTGGCTGTGAGCACCAACGCAATCCGCACTTACAACTAGACGTGGTCCGTGATCTTGGAGAGACTGGCTGTGCACTCACCTGGTTGAGCAGCACGTTAGCGGAGGGTCACTTACATCGTGTGGAAGAAGCAGTTAGCGACTAAACTACCGTCAGTACCGGGCACATTGCCATTGGCATTCGATTGCGTATGCGCATGAGGAAGTATGTTAGCGTGCATGCCATCGTTCTGCATGCCGTCATTACCGGCGACGATTCTCCGCCGTGGCCGTCTGGCTCTGCCCCTCAGAGGGCGCTGTGGGGCCGGGCTGCTTGCCGGCTTGTAGTGTGGCTGACTGGTTCGCCCTGCCGCCTGGCGCAGTCTACAGCTGGCCAGCTCGCGCGCTCGCGCGACCGGCGGACGGTGTATGCTGCTCTGCGGTGGCTACCGTGGTGGTCCACGGGGCGGCGCCCGCGGCGGTAGGTGACGTCGTCACGGCCCAGGGCGGTGTGTATGTCATTGGGTGGTTGTTTGAATTCAAAACAAGTAGAAATGTAAACGTTAGGATGCCCGAGAATTAGTAAAATGTAAACAAGCTAAAAAATCAAATGAATTGTTCGATCAAGAGGACAACATACTTCATCGCCTCTTGTCCTCTTGCTATTTCCCACCGAACGAACGAAAAGTTCGCCTTGTCCAGCTCGTCCGCGATTCGACGCCAAGGTCCAGCACCGAAAACTCCCGGCGCCGAAAAGCTGAACGAACAGCGTTTCCTGCTGTTCGGCGGCAGCGAACGGGCGCCCTCCATTGGTCTCGTGTTCAATTTCGTCATTTGGCTGTTCAGCGACGCGCCGAACTTTGCTTCGTGGACGGCCACGCCAAGAAAAACAAAAACAAAGGAGTCAGGAGTGCGGTCGGCGGTTGCTGGCTGTAGCCGACCTAAACGACATATGCAATGAGCGCATAGTGTCGTGGGCGAGGAAATAACAGAATACAACGTTAACTTTCTATATTACCGTAAGAACTACATATCACCCAGTTATTCATATCTGGTATGTTTTGAACCTAAACGACGGCTCGAGGCAACTGGACAAACATGAAAGCACATCTCAGCACCAAAAGGACAGTCCCTTAAACGTAGCAACTGATCGAAAGCATGAGTGCATATCTGGAACGCAGCCGCATCGCTATCCCATCAAGTGGTCCCTGAGACGAGAAAATCACGTGTCACATGTGATTAACTGGCACATCTCTGGCCCGATCAGGTATGGATACCGCGTTCCCTGAACGAATGATGAGCTCAAACGAGGTCCTTGACAAGGCCAGCGCCTCTCTGGCTACGCTCTGCTCACGCACGCATGTCACACCGGCGCTTCGATCAAGGGAACTGTCGCGGCTCTAATGCCTGGTTCTCGGAGCATGGTATTAGCACAGTTAAAGATCCACCAAACTTGTCCTAACCCAAACGCCTCCAGGACGGCGCAGGCTAACCCAAACGCCTCCAGGACGGCGCAGGCTAACCCAAACGCCTCCAGGACAGCGCAGACTCCCACCGGGAAGCTGCCGCATAGCACCCAGTTTCACCGGCGGCCTCAATGCATCATCCCGCCGGTTAGTCAGCAGTCACCAGGGCACCCCGCCTGCGGCCCGCTGTCCACGGGGGCAGCGCTCCGTCCCGCGGACCCGGCGCAGGCACGTCGCCCCGTTGGCGGGTCCAGCACCGCGCCTCGTCCCGTCGGTGGGCCCAGCACAGCCCTTCGTCCCGCCCCGTGGACCCGGCGCAGCGCTCCGTCGCGTCATTAGACCCGGCACAGCGTTGCGTCGCGTCATTAGACTCAGCACAGCGCTCCTTCCCGCCCCAACGTCAGCGCAGCGCCGAGAGGCCACCCGTTGCCAGGTTGTTGGCGGCACCAAACTCGAGCTCCGAACTCTGCTCGGGCAAGCGGCCGGAGCCCCCTGCCCACTGGTGGCCGCCGCCCGGCGCTGCAGTCCGCCGGCGCCACCTCCGCCTCGTTCATCTTTAGGAAGTGTTCGACCACTGCGCGGCCGAACTTGCGCGAGTCATAGATGGGCATGAGCTCCACCTGCGCCCCGACGGTCGGCTTCTGCTCCAGGATGTCCTGGAGCGCGCCCAGGAAGCGTGCGGCGAACTCCTCGTAGTCACTGGCGCCAAAGTCCACCTTGGAATCGTCGACAGTGCGCAGAGCCGTGCACGTGGGCGAGGCCACCTCCATGGCCACGCGGTACACGCGGCCGTCGTACTCAACTTGATACACCTGGGTTTCGCCGTACGGACGTCCCTTGACCGTGATCCCAAGCAGTTTCTGCCGGCAGATGGGGATAAAATCATGCGTGGCGGTGAGCGTGCGCAGGTTTGGGTTTCCAAATAGTAAATCTCTCCTAAATCAATCAACTCTCAATAGCCTGCCATACAAAATTGCACATTGCAGACAACTTATCACAGGCAACTATGAAGCGAGATTTCTGCAAAATATGGGGAAGATAAGGAATAGGTAACAAAACTGACATGCATAAACGATGAAGTGCTTACGGCATATGCCGTACTTCAACCGGTGTCCATAAAGTTAGGGCAGCCAAAATATATGCGGTGTTCATCATCATAAGCGTGAAAGATTCTTAACATACAAACTGCTTCCCATTTCGATGGATTACGTGTGCTATTACTTTCTCTCGCAAACTGTTAAAATTGCAGTACGCCCTTGATTACTAAGCACAAACAAAAACAACAAAAACAAAACAAAACAGATCAACACCCGCAACGACGACTAAAAACTTCTCACGCAACCATAACTGTTGCCAAACATGCATGGCACATCAACGCCATTCAAAACTTGCCACCCCACAGGCCGGGCAACGTTCCAAGGCCAGAAGGAATAATATTGTCCAGCCATTTAAATCCGGCGTCCGTGAGCGCGATTTCCGAACACAGAAAGCGTCGAAGGCTCTCAAAGGATGCTACAAGGTGTGCAAGCTTCAATCACGGAACACGTTCTGTAATACATAAGTTAGAAGTAGGGCATGGTTTCTTCACTTGCTAATTATTACGGAAATAAAACCTGTAATTTAATACAAGAAAACACCTTAAACCCTGGAATAAATGCGTAGGTCAACCACAAGAAAGGTCCAAAACACGAGCACAAAACGATACTTCGCTCAGCGAACACTTCCGGTACCAGCTCTGGACGAAGTCCAGTATTGCAAGTGGCAATTTCGCACGGGTAGCCTAGCACCCAGATAGTTGAACGGGCTCAGCTCCCTCCCCTTCCCCCTCCTCGCATCCGCGCCCCTGGGCATATCCTGTGTCCATGTACAGCCGGTCTACGTCCTCCCCAGGTTTCTCCGTGGTGCAACTGCCAAGCGCCAGCCGTCCGCGGTGGGCACCGTCGCCGGCAGGCGGTGAGACTGCCTGGTACGCCCCCTCCCCCTCCCCCCTAACAGCGGGCGCATGTGTTGGGACATCCCCGGTGCCTCCGGTCTCTTCCACCATCCGTAACGGTCCCGCAGAGTGACGGCAGCGGTCTCAACGGCAGCGATGGCGACTGCCGTGCCATCGGCGGCGACGGCGGCATTAACGGTGGCGGTAGCCGCAACGAAGATGGTCGTGATGATGCTCAACGTATGAGCAGCATGCGCCACGCGGCACGATAGTGTGTCCGTTGAAATCGCGGGGCGTAGCGCACTGCGTCTGGCGGCTGACATCCCAGCTGTCTATCCGTTATCCGTTGCTGGCCGCCGACCGAGTGATTCTTAATGACGTCACGCATCGCCTCGCGCACAGCATGAGCGAAGCACTTGGTGTTTTGACCTCAAGTGTAGGGTTCTGAGCGAACCAGCCATTTGCTAGCTCGAACAGCTCAAGGTCGCGAGCGCTGAGCCTTGGTCAGCGGCGGCGGCGCGTGACGAGGCAGCCGCGAAATTCCGAATTATGGGATGGCTGACGGCCGTGGCCACGTCGCACTGACGCCGTCCGAGCTCTTCTCGCCGTTTGTAAGGCCTGGCCCGAGGCGGCTGGGCTGTGAAGAGGCACGTGCACCGTCTCGGCGTTTGCCAATGAGAGACGCGAGGTCAGTTTTTTTGTTCCTTGGCCAAGAGACGCCGCAAGATCGAGTGGTATTCGTCACTGGGTTGCCTCCTTGATGAAACGAAGTGAGATACTTGTAGCACAAAACTTATAGCACGATGAACAGTGACAATTTTCCTACATCTTGCAAATTACTCCACGTGCAAAATAAATATTCCTACCGCTTGTTTCATATAAGCCATGCATCATAGACACATGAGGACCGCGGCGGTACAAAAGCGCTTGCCGGATCAAGGCTGTTGATATCGCCGTGCATGAAGTCGACAGCTGAGTGCCGGAGAACGTTCCGATCTCGGAAGTATGTGGGAGCGACAGTAAGCTTCGTAGAACGTAACACATTCGACATCGTGTAAACGAATGGTCACGGGCTGTGCCATCACATCAATAACAGACCAATGTTCGGATTATAAACGTGGTCTCAACACAGTCTCATTCAGTGACTCCATCTCAGTCGCAGCGCAGCCGTGCGCCTCATGCCTGCAGTGCGCGCCTGTGCTCGCCTCTCATGACCGGTGCGAGGCCAGAGGCGAGGACAACTGAGCACAGTGGGCCGGGTTTGACGCATTGAGGACCCCCGACGTCGATTGGTGGCAAACGACACAAGCAGACCGGATGTGCATGCCCTGCACAGGCAAGACCCCTGGGCAGCACTATTAATCTCCCAATGCAGAAAAACATGGCGCAAGAGCTTTTCCCTTTGCAAAACAAATATTATCTCGCTGCTCCACACCTCCGCTCATGAACGAAATCCTCACGTTCTATGTGCACCCCCCACACGGTTCGCGGTAAGTTGCCATCTGCCTCTCCAGACAGCGTCACGAGAGATGAAGACAGATGTGCCTGCGGCGGTGTTCGAACAGCTGACATGCAGGCCGAAGCCTGCCCACATCGCTCCGCTCGTGCAACATTCTCTCTGAGACTGAGGAGTTACTGTCTGCCGATCTGAAACAAAACTGGCGAGAGATGTAGAACACGGTGTCAACGTTCCAAAATTCGCCCAGTAAAGCGCGCAGGGTGTAAATATCGATTCACGCTACCAGATTTCTGACTCTCAGGCGGCCTCCGCGCGCCATTGGTCGCCGCTGATCGGTTGCACTTTGAGCCTGAACCTTTGAGCTACCTGTCCTGCCGGGCCCATCTCACAAGCCTGAGGAGCTGAGTACTGGGCTGACCGCCGCCCCGTTCGACGTTGGTGGGCCGATTTTGGGCCAAGGGAAGGGCAACAGGCAGTGAAACCCACGCCGGGGTTGCAAGCAAGCAAGGACATGGGCCGAAAATTAGATGAGGTGTTCGTATCACCATATCACCACAGCAGTAACCACCTTCCACGACTCTGGGAACACAGATGCCGCAATGGATGTGTTGACGAGTCGCAGTATGTGGGGTGCGAGAAACAGCCAAACAACGTTTCACCACGCTCCGGACACCGTCGATGCCGACCGCACCTGACGCGTCCATAGCTCTGAAGGTGCGGCCCAGCTCCCGCGGAGTGTTCGGACATACTTTTCCGCTACGACGATTGGAGGCCCAATGCTGGACTATTCCGTCACCCCCCAGCAATGTCGGAGCCGACTGAAGCAAAAAAAAAACTGTTGAAGGAGTCAAATCTGTTGCGAAGATCGGCGGCATCTGTTTGGGGGCGGAGCAGACACTGGAGCAGCTCGTGTCATATAGATGCGCTTGAGCTGCTTCCAGAAGTCGCATCAGCCAGGCCCAAGGAACTGCTGTTCGAAGGAAGTCGTGGCGCACTCTCACCAGCAGACTCTTGACAGGGTTTCGCCAACGGCAGTAGTTGGCTCTGGTGTCGGGCGTGCGGAGGTCGCTTCAGGCCGAGATGTCGCGTTATCCGCCGCCATGGCCTCTCTCAGCTATGAGCTGTCGGTTAGCCGCGGACGATCGGGTCGCCGAATCCTTCTATATCGCCAGAGCAATGACGGTTCATGGCTGCAGCCCGAATCTTTATAACGTGGGTTCTGTGTCATTGATGTCATTTCAGCTGTGTAGCGCGTCCCAATTGATCGGTGGAAGAAATGTGGAGTAGCGAGTGGAATCAGTTTTCTATCATACTTGGTGCGGAAGATATAAGCTTATATCATTTCGCAGACAAAAATGGTCCATTTTCAAATAAGTCGAATCTTATTTTCTTTTCAATTATTAGACGCGGAATTGCACTGCCCATACGACGGCGTAATTTGAACTTTTTTCGCTTTCATAATTTTTGAGTTTTTCATAAACTTGAAAAATTCTGCACAAATAAGCCCTTGTTCCAAAAGTGTTAAACGCGGATAAATAAAACTTACCGCTTGGTACACACACTAAATGGACTACGGGCTTTCATTTTCCACCAACAAATTCATGGTCAAAATTTTGACTTTGCCGAAAAAAAGTGCTCATAGTCCAAATATTGTTCATTATCAGTTAAACGACAATGGTCGAACAAAAATGATAATACTAATTGTGCGTCGTTGGCAAGTGGAACCAGCCTCCTTTCTTAACTGGTTGAGGAGATATAAGCATAAACTATTTCGAAGACCAACAATGATCCCTTTTCCAAGTTGTACAATCTCACTGTAGTATACGTCATTAGACGCGGAATATGATACGCCATACGACTGTGTGGTTTGGGATTTTCTCACTTTCATCATTTTTGAGATAGCTCCAAAACCAGCTTGAACAAATGCACACAAATTGACACTTGTTCTGAAAAGCGCTAAACAAGGACAGAAAAACTTGACACTTGGCACACAAACTAAATGGACCACGAGCTTTCATTTTACACTAATAACCTTCATCCTCAAAATTCTGACTCCGAAAAAACCGGTCGTAGTCAACACGTCTTTTCATAACCAGGTATACAAGTGGAATCAGCGGAAATGGGGAAATGTATGCCGGGGAGAGCATTTCAGTCACCTTGGCATTCATGACGTCACAATAATGTCATTCAAATCTTGCCAGTTATAAGCCATGCGGCGATCAAGGCCAATAAAAAGATAACTGTCTACGCGTTCATATCTGGCGTTTGTGACCATATCTAAACATAACTGCCGTCAACTGGCTCTCAATCAATGGCGTGCAAGGTACGATGACGTAACTAAACCATGACCATTGAGGAACATTTTTACTTAAAAGAAAATTGTGCTCTCTCGCGTAGTCTTCTCCACTTAAAAAGCATACCAATAGTGAGCTTGTATAAGTGCGCCTGTTTCATCATGTCTGATGTTT